CTTTAAAATAAATAAAATTTAAATAACAAAAGAATTAAATATTTCACATATTATTGAAATATTTAACATAACTAAATTTTAAATAGTTAAAAACAATTTATGTAATAAATTAAAAAAAATTCTAAAGATTATAAAAATAATTGTAATAGATTTCATTGTATTTGAATTAACAATAATTTTACATTTTACAAAACTAATAATGAAATTATGTAATAATAGTATAAATTATATTTTTCTGGGTTATTAAATTTAATAAATAAATATTGTTTTAAAATTAAAATATTAATATAAATAAGTAATTTTTAAATACTTTAAATATAAAAAGATAACTAAACCATATTTTATATATTGTTTCAAAAACAAAAATAGATTAAACAACGAAATCATGGTACGACTTTAAAAAACATCAAACTCCCAAAATTAATTATAGTAGATTTAACAATATTAGATAATAATAATACAAAATATAAATAATTGAAAAAAATTTAAATATTATTGAAATAGTGGAAGTAGATTAATTGATTAAATAACTTAGAGGTATTGAAGTTTTATTAGTTATTTATTGTATTTTTGCTATTAATTTTTATTAATAATTGGAGATTAAACTATTGTTTTTTGTTGGAGATTATACTATCAATTTAACTGAAATTAGGAGTGTTCAATAGGTAGTTCAGTCGGTTGCAAATTATTTGGCCAGACAAACTGATGTGGTCGGATTGGGGAGTTGGTCACTCAAAACTAACAAACCTTTAGTTAAAACCAACCAACTCAAGTTGTATCGGTCAATGTTTTGAAAACCAACCCGGTGACTGACTCGATTTTGCATCCGGGTCATAGTCAACGGCTCAATCATCCTAGTTGAAAGGGTTAGACCATTCCATGTTAGTACTCAACCTATTTAAATATATATATATATATATATATACGTATAAAATAGTGTATAGTTATGTTATACATATAATATATGTATTATTTTATACTTTATTTGTATTTTTAATTAGTTTTTTTTTGTTTATAGAAAATGTTAAATATTGTGATTTGAGGACAAAATCTTTTTTCGCAAAAATAGAAGGGCAAGGCACCCACGACACCTTAGGATGCATAAATCTTGAAAAGTTACCCAAAATAAAAATATCACCTCAATCGGACATCTAAGTGCAAAGTTATGGTTTCCAAAAGTTTGCACATGTATTAAGTATGCAACTTATAACCCAATGACCATGTCAAATGGGTCAATGGTTAAACTCTCCAAGTCGGGTGGTTTTTTACCAAGTCAATGGTTTTTGACTGAATGGTGGGTTTCAATATAACTATACGTACCTGAAATCAAGGCCATGTGATGGTTCAAATAGTTCAATTGATTAGGTCAATGGCATGTTGAAAACATTGGTATCGATTGGGGCTGGATTTTAGTTTGGTTGGTCGATTCAACAGATTTAAACTTAAAAAATTAAATTACATTTTAAAAAATACAATGATATTATTAAAAATAATAAAATAAAAAATTTAAGTTTATAATATAAAATATTTTAGAGTAAGAAATATGGAAAATGTTTTTGCTTTCCTGTATTAAAAAATTATATTTAAAATATAAAATATTAATATATAATTATGATCGAGTGGGATCAATTTTGGTCGATTTACAAATGGCCAAATCGAAAGTAACCTGACTTGGTTGGGTTAGGAAATTGCTGAACCGAAGACGACCGAAAATACTAGAGTGTGACCAACTCGAGTTGAGTTGGGTTAGTTTGGTCAGTTTCATCCATTTGATGAACATCCATTGTTGAAATTAATTATTGTTTTTTTACTGCAAACAAATTATTAAAAATATTATATAAAAGTATAAATAATTATTAATTATTTAAAAGTTAAATTATAAAACAATTGTCTACTCTTATGTATTTCTATTAATTAACTTTCGCTTAACAAAGTTCATGCATTGCACGAGTCCCCACTAGTGTATTAAAAAATATAGAAAAACACATTTTTTTTATTTATTGAAACCCATTAACTTTCATCGATCAATGCTTTCTTGGTGCATTACACTTTCACAAACTCTATACTATAAATATTGAGTTTTGAAACTTCAATTCGAGCCTTAAGGTAATTGATGCATTCAACCTCTGGTTGAAAGCTCAAGATATTATTTCTACCATTAAGAAATGTGGTTGTATCATGTATTACACTTTAATAAATCTTCACCCTTTTTGGGAAAAATAATTAGTTGTATAGAACACTAAACATTCCTCTTGCAATTCACAAATCCATCAAGATCATGGATTTCTTGGTTGATTAGGAAGATAGTTATGGCTGGTGGCGACCCAAGGTGTAAATCAGGCCGCGGGTGACCCGTGCTTGCTACTTCTAAGATACTTTAGAGGTCCGGCCCGACATGACCCATGGCACGGGCTCAAGTGGACCCTGAATGTGCCATGCCATGCCCCGAGTCAAGCCTTGGGCCAAGCCGGATCGTGGACTAGGCCAAGCCATGACACATACACACATATATATACATGTATGTATATATATATATGTATGTATGTTTGTATGAATTTTGATGTATACAATTATTTATATATATAATAATAAAATGAAATAAACAAATTATAATAAATTGGAATAAAATAGTATAATAAAATTTATAAATCACAAGTGGCACGACCCGATTTAAAGATATACTCACAAGTGGTTTAGAGCTCAAATATGTACATGTACCAGAAGTCCAAAACAAGAGAGAGAGAGATTCACCCAATATTAACTTTTAAGTATCTATCACAAAAATATTAGGTTTTTTAGTTGTAACACGAAGAGAGGGAGACGGTGGAAAGGAGAGACCACTTGTTCACAGGTTGAGCCAGGCTTTACCATTTTATAAATAGAAAATGGATAGGCCTGAGCCCAAACATGACTTGACCATTGCGCTTGGATCTTAGCCCAAGATTGACTTTATAGGTTAGGGTGAGTTGGACCGTGGGTTCATGATAAAGGTACATTTGATTCCAATCTATTTGACCCACTTGTATTAAAACCCATCCATATCCATTGATTCTATTAGTGTATCAATATGGATCGAGTGACTTAGGTGTGGTTCGGTAGTGTGTTCATCTCGTGGATGGACTATTTCAGTCCATGCCACGGGATGAAAACACCATTCGGTTTGTTGTGGATGGGATCGATCCACACTATCTCGTGGACCAGCCTTGTCCATACTCCAATTTATCGTCAATGGTTTTTTTTTTCGTGGATGGGGTCGGTCCACGATTTGTCTTTGCTAATATGTTTCATGTGTGCTCTCCAAACCTTACATCCTTTACCGTTGAAGGTCTCACCCGTCGAAAATCTCCACCACTGGAAGCTTTTGTGCACTGCCAAATATTTCCATCAAAGCTCTCCTCTGACCAAGCTCTTTATCGCTCCACCGAAAGTCTCCTCTGCTATGCTTCACCAAAGCTCTCCTCCATCCAAGCTCTTCACCGCTCCACTGAAGGTCTCAAATGCTGTGCTCCACTAAAACCGTCCAAGCTCTTCACCGCTCCACCGAAGTACAAACGGTAGAGAATAAGAGAAGAAGAGAAGAAGAGAGGGAATTGCAGAGCTCATCCCACATGAATTAACGACGATAGAGAAGAAGAGAGGGAAGAAACCTTCTATCGTTGTGATTCAAGGGCCAAAGCCTGGTAAATCGACTGATCTCTCAAGGATGCACCAGATACTTGTGAAGTTCAAACACAACCCGCCTCCTCACATGAAGCCTTCTCCACCTCCGGCGCTAGCACCTGCCAAAGATGCTAAGACCGGTACTGCTACACCCCCTAAGGCTGCAACTGTGACCACTGCCCAGACGCGCCGTGGTTACTGCTTGATTCTGAACTTTTCGGGTCTTAAACAATGTCCTTTGTTTGTTGAAAATTACCAAGTCAATACCCTCAGTCTCAAGCTTGTGTATTTGGTTTATGTACGTCATTTCTTAGTATGCTAGCGCTAGTGTAGCCGCAGATGTTTACTTGGAGAATTGTGTAGAAAAGTAGGTTGGTCTATTGTTTTGTTTTGTTTTTTTTTTTTTTGTTTTGTTTAACGGGATTTTGGTTCTATGCAAGTATGCATGCTGTTTTGTTTCATTCATTTGTGTTCTTGTTGGTAATCAGTTAATCTCCAACCTATTGTCAGTCATTAGGTGTTAAGGTTTTTTCTTGCACAAAATCATTACTTAATTTTTTAATATTTTAATGTTTTTATCAATAAAATAATATTTAATATATATTTTATAAATTTTTAATTATTTTATTATTGTTTTATAAAAAAATAATATTTATTAGTTAATATTAATTCATTGATTCATTTTTAAAAAATATTTATCATATAAAATGCAAAAATTTGATATTTATATTTAATTATGTATATCATTCATTCCATGTATATCATTGATCCCGTCTACACAGTTTATCCATTAATTGTGAATTTATCTTAGGTCGAATGTACCCATTGGTCGGGAAGGGTTGGGTCGAGGGTTTCTCCGGCTATTCTTAACCGTCGAAGGTTTCTCCGCCATTCGCCGTCATTCTCTGCCATTTTTCCTTCTTCCTTTCGACACTGAACCACCAGTGGCGGAAACCCCTTTTTTACCCTCCAACCTCTCTTATCCCATCTTCATCTTTGCCTTTGCCTTTCCCTTTCTCCCTTTTTTTCTCTTAACCCCTTCTCATTCTCTCGTTTTCTAACATTGTTCGTTGTCTTCTCGGACGGGAACGGAGAGCTCCTGTCAGCGGCATTCTCCATACATCAACTCTGGTCTTCAACGATCGAAAGTAGCTTCATGGTTTGATACTCACCATCTTTTTTTTTTTTACTAATTTCAAGCAGAGCTAACGCCTGTAAAGTCCCTCAATCGAAGCCTCTCGTTGCATCAGTCGAATTCAGGCCGAATTTCGTTCAGGTAATCTCCATTCTCGTCGCACTTTTCCTTGGTTTGGGTTTGGTTATCTCTCTCTCTCTCTCTCTCTCTTTGCTTATTTCCCCTGTTATTGTTATAAGTTGCGACAAAGCTTCTGCGAAGCTGGTCTCTATAGGGTCGCCCTCTGTAAAACCCAGGGCCGATGACGATTGACGTGATAGGGAGAATCAGATATATATTTGGTCTGATTTATTATCATCAACTGTTTGTTTCTGCTTAAAATAGTACTTCTCTTCAGTTCCTTTTATTTACTGCTAAAACTGGTTCTTTGTTGGTCTCTATCGCATCTGCTGGGTCTAAGATTAGTGGAAGAATTGTTTTCTTTTTGATTTGCTACCTGATTCCTTTAGAATACGGTGATTGTCTTAATCGCTTGTTTATTTTCGGTTTATCGCATATGTTGTTCAATTGTTGTCCCATTCTCTTCCATCCAACCTTTGAATACATATCCAAATCCACCTTCCCCAAGAATCAGGTCTGAACTTTCCAGTTACAGCCTTGAGCTCCTGAAAAGTAAACTGAAGCAACTGGCGAGAATTTTTCTTTTCTAATGGTGGTGGCCCAGGATTTTCACATGGGGAACAGGGAGTTCCCGGTTGCTGGCATTCAAGCATCGGGTCTCTGTGGCTGCATTTATGGAATCTAAATTAGAGGCATTTTACTTGGATTCCTACTCTTTTCCAATTGTATGGCAAAAATTCATTTAGTTTGCAGAAACAAAATAACTGAAAGTTTGCAGAATTCAATAGAACTAACTCAAATTTGCATTATATTATGCAAAATTTTTATTTTTTTTGCAATTTCTGCAAAATTTCTGCAATTTTCTATAATTTCTGCATTTTTTTCTGTTATTTTGATGTATTTCTGGTATTTTTCAGTTTTTTTGAAAAAATTCTGCTTTTTTTGCGTTTCTGCAATTTTTTGTTTTTTTTTCTGCAAATTTTCTGTTTTCTTTTTTTTGCATTTTCTGCAAATTTTGGTATTTTCTGCAATTTTCTGCAAAATTTCTATAATTGCTGCATTGCAAAATTTTGCATTTTTTTCTGGTATTTTAATGCATTTCTGCATTTTTGGTATTTTTCTGCAACTTTTTTTCTAAATTTTCTACAAAATTTCAGCAACTTTTCTGATATTTTTATGCATTTTCTGGTATTTTCTGCATTTTTTTTTCTGAAAATTTCTGCATTTATTTGCATCCATGCAATTTTTGGTATTTTCTGCAACTTGTTTTGCATTTTCTGCAAATTTTATGGTATTTTCTGATTTTTTTCTGGTATTTTCTTGTGACAGTTACGAGAGCGGGACGGTTCTCTTAAAAATGTTTTTTTGGGTATATGGGTTGACCCAACAGGTATCTGTCACGTGAGTCGTGCCAGTCACAAAAACAAGACAATTATCTTAAAATTGATTTTTTGAGTATAGGGTAACCCAACCTGTATTTGCCATGTGACAGTCACGAGAACAAGACAATTATCTTAAAATTGATTTTTCGGATATACGGGTCGCATATGTCACATGACAGCACTGAGAGAGATAATTCTCTCAATTTTTTCAGGGATATGGTTGACCCGATCCGTTTTTGTCACATGAAAGCCTTGAGAGAGATGATTCTCTTAAAAAAGGTATTTTCAGATATATGGATTGACCCGACTGGTTTCTGCATAATTAGTATGGGTGTTGGTGGGTAAGGGTCAATGTGGATGTGTCAAATAGGGTGGGTTGTGACCCATTAACAAGGATTGATGATGGGTCATGGTGGGTCAATATAGATGGGTTGATATTCAACCCTTACTCAACCCAACCCGCCCATTTGCCACCCCTACCGTATGCTTTAGGGTTCGAAACTTAGGAATCGAAAGTAACTTCGATGGTCCAGTCTCGGACTCTTCGAAGGTTCATTCGCTGCAACATCGCCAACCACCAGCTTCAACGTCGCTAAAACAAGCGACCAATTTCAACGTTGCCAGTGTTTGTTCCAATCTCTCTATTGTCCTCTCTGTTTAGGATTTGTTCAAATCGCCAAAACAAGCTTCATTTTTGTGGTTTCTTCAACGTCGCTGGTGTTTCTTCCTCTTCTAGTTGTCAAAGCTGTATTATTTCCCATTAATTTGCATCCATTCTGGAACGTCACAGGAAGAAAGGTTAGGAACAACATTTTTTTCCTGAACTTTATATTCATGGCATGCTCAACGTTTGTGGTTTCTTACTCGTGTGCTTTGGCCATCTTAACATCAATGCTCCATAAAATATTTTCTAATTCCTCCTTTAGTAGAATTTAGGGTTTTCTACCTTGAACCTAGTAGGTTGAATGCATACTTGTTGACACCATTCTATGGTTTGCTGATTCTAAATTTTCTTTCTTAGTTAAACTTATTTTGGAATTTCCAGATTCTAAATCACTCCTCTATGACCTCTGGCTTTGCATTTTAACCTCTGTAGTTTATTAAAACATTGTCATTTGCAAGCAACAAAACATGTGGTTGATACTTTGTTGGATCGAATTCGTCTATGAATTTGCTATACATTCACGGAAGACAAAAAAAGCAGTCAACAAGCAGCTTGTTGATGTATTCCTCATCCCCATGTAATACAGGTTTTGATCAAGCATTGGCCTGGAGAAAAGAACCAGAATTATTAGACCTTAGGGTTTTACTTTATTATTGCAACATAGTTTCATTCTACAGTGGACCTCATTAAATATACAAAGAATATCCTGTTAATCAATGAATATTGTCCTTTTGATTCGATGATTATCCTGTTTGGTACCACGTCTATATTGGAATGTGATCATTCCAGGTTTTTATGAAACTGGAATCATCTAGGTTTTTTCTGGACTACCTGAAAATTTTAGGTGATTACTGTGTGGATTCAAAAGCAATGCATAGTTCTTGTTCTCGTCTTTACTGGGGATAGAGTTCCTTGTTTATGGTCTTACCATCTAAGGTAAATCTGGGTTCAAGTTAATAGAACAAAATAATAGGCTGAAAAATCATTCTTGACAGGGAATAAGTGTTTCCTGACAGTGAAAGTGGTAGTGCAGTTGGTCCAATGGCTAAGAATAATGCCATTTTTTGTATCCAATTGCTACCAAGTATCAATGGCTGCTCTGTTACAAGGATTCACAGGTTATTTAGGCATTAGACTCAGGTGGTTGATACTTGATATTATGCCCTTCTGGAAATATTAAAAGCTGACTGAAATCTAAAATCCCTTATTTTTAATGAGATTGGGAAACATTATTTGATGGTCTCAAATGGTCTGTGGTGAGATCCAGAGTTGTCAAGGTGACTAGGCGAGGCTAGGTGATGGAATCTATAAATATAAAATCTATAGATTTTAGCCATATAATCATATTCATATATATGAATGATAGATTCGGCTGTTAAAAACTGATGTGAGAAGTGAGAACAATGACTGCATCAGTGAAGGGAGGAGAGGAGTATAGGGCGGGGCCCCTGTTTTTTCAAAAGAAAAAGATGATGATGATGATGAGTGGAGAAAGGGACGACTGAGGAGTATAGAGGCGGAGCCTCTGTTTTTTCGGAAAAAAATGAAAAAATGTCTGAGGTGAGAAGAGAGAACTCAGGACTGATTCGACTGAAATCTGGAAAAGAGAAAGAAGATTAGAAGAACTTACGTGCTGGAGCTGAGGTGCGATGGAGTTGGGCTGGGGCTTGAAGCCTTTGGTTCTCCTCCTCTCCAATCGAACCAAAAAAAAGCCCTTATGACATAAAGAAAAAAGGCTGTATACTTGGTCTTAATACTAAAATGATATCATGTAACCAGATTTATTTTAAAAGAATAAAACATCCAATAAAATATCAAAACAATAAATTAAAAAAATTGTTTTTTAGATGAATGTAGGCGCCCACCTAGGTGCCTAGGTGCCTGCTTAAGTCTCTGGGCGGGTGCCTAATATGCAAAACTTGTGGCGTTTGGGTGAGGCGACCATGAAAAACCGTGTAGTCGCCTTGACAACTACTGGTGACTAGAATATCTTCTAAACAAGGTCCAGAGAATTTTTCCAAGCTTGACAGTAAAGAGAAAATGGATTCCTAGAGAAATAAATTCCACAGAACATGTACTACATAATCATTACTTTTCTTCAATGGGTGGAAGAAAGAAAATGAAACCACAGATTAGTTTCCAGAAAATAACTTTGCATTTCCTCCGGAAAATATAATATATAATCATTACTTGGGTTCTACATCCTTTGCAAGATGGGGTATCTTCTATGAGTGCAATACTAACAGCAGGAATCCTCTAGTTCAATTTCAATGTACTAGTTCAAAAATCTTATAGCAGTTCGGATTGCTTTGTTGCTCAGTTTGTGAACTTTCTATTTTACATCAATAGAGGTTGCCATTTCCCATTGACATGTCAAAAGATGATATTGAATATGCCAAAATCAATGATATCGGATGGGTTTAACCCTCTCTTTTATCATGTTCTTTTGAACCCACCAGCTACTTTTTGTGCTGCCCCAGCTTGTAATGTATTCTTCCAAGTGGCAAATCTAGCATGTCACGCACCTGTAAGCACTTGGCCCTTTGGGCTATAGACATTTTATCAATCCATGGGCATTGTTCACATGAATTGGGGTGGAAACTGAAAAGACCATGCAATCATTTTGTACAAGGGGTTTTCTCTCCTTCCACAACTTTCTTCTCTTTTTCTTATTCTTTTAGGCTGTGTTTGGTTTGATAAAATATAAGAGGGCTAAACGCCTAAACCATTGTATCAACAATTAATTATAGTACACTTTGCTGGGGCTGATTGCCTGGTTTCATTGTTGGAATTTATGCCAAGTTAGAACCAATGTAGGTAAAGAGGACTATGGTTCTAGAAGTCTGATTGCAGTGTCTTCTTTTTTTTTTGTGAAGTCATTTTAATTATGATCCACTTGGGCCCTATGACCATCATTTTCTTAGAAAATGGTTTGGAGGAAGCACTTATTCCATCCAAGGTCTCTTTTCTCATGTGATCTGTGACTTCATAAACATTCTTAGTTTCTTACTATGTTTCTTACTATTAAATAGCATTTGGCTGTGATAGAAATCATATGTACACGTCATCTGGTTTTTTTGCAACTTTGTATTTTTCTGCATTCTCTGCAAAATTTCTGCATTTCTGTATTTTCCTGCATTTCTGCAAAGTTTCTGTAATTTTCTGAAACTTTTCTGTATTTTCTGCATTTTCTTTTTCTGTAATTCTCATGCATTTTCTGTGATTTTTTGCAAATTCTCTTTGTTTTTTTTTCCTGCAATTTTCTGCATTTTGTGCAACAAATTCTGCATTTCCTTTTTTTTTTTTTGCATTTTGCAAATTTTCATGTATAAGGGTCGACCTGACCTATAGCTGCCATTTTGCAGTCTTGAGAACAAAGTGTTTCTCTTAAAATTGGTTTTTGGGTATATGGGTTGACCCGACCCGTATCTGCCACGTGGCAGTCATGAGAGTAAAGTTTTTTTTTCCCCTTAAAATTGATTTTTTGGGCATACTGGTTGGCCCAACCTGTATCTGCCATGTGGCACTCATGAGAACAAAGTGTTTCTCTTAACATTAATGTGTGAGTATACGGGTTGACCTGACTTGTACCTGCGACGTGGTAGTCATGAGAACAAAGTGTTTCTCTTAAAATTGATTTTCAGGTATACAGGTTGACATGGCTTGGTTGTTGCATTTGATAGAGGAATGCTAGAAAAAACCGAACCTAACAAGCATTTATACTTGGTGGGTAAGTGTGGTGAGGGTCAAGGTGGGTTGCGACCCACTAAGAAGGATTTATAGTGAGTAAATGGGTCAATATGGGTAGGTTGGTATTCAACCCACACCCGACCTAACCCATCCATTTGCCACCTCTGCTTCTCCAAACCGAACCAATCTGCATCCTACTTATTTTTTGACAAAATTCCCTATATTGCCTTAAAACCTAATGCCTTTGTCTTGGTTTAGCATTTTTTTCCTAGTTTAGTCATTTTCTCTCCTCTATTCTATCACACACACAACACACCTCACTTCTCTTTATCTCTTGAATCCTTCATCTCTACTGACTTATGACTTGTTGACACATTCTTCATCACTAACACAGTCAAAACAGTGGTGACTGACTGATCAGTGAAGGGTGAGGTGATCTCTCTTAGTCTCACTCACACCTCGACAAAGGACAACAAATGGCTTTTCTTCTCACCTTGATGCAGGGTAATAAATCGGCAACTTCGTTTCTATTCTGTATCATATATTTATAATTTTCAAGTCCCGATCAATGGAAATTGGGGAAGAAATGGATTGGCTCATACATTCCCCCCCCCTTCCCCCCTTTCAAATACATATTGTCACACAACTATAAATTAAATGGATAATGGTTTCGAGTTTCAACTTGTCATTAGAGTTTGAAAGGAAATAGGTCTCCGAAGTATATCTAACTCAAAAGATGGATCCACATAGATCCCAACTTTCAAGTATATCATTTATGTGCCTGTTAATGTTATAGATGGACTAACCATGGACTAAAGTATTGACCAATTTATTTTATTATTTTGAAAGTTATTACAATATGATGATACTTGAACTTGACAATTTATCATAATCTCTCATCAATTATTATAGTTAACACAATCCAAAGACCAATGATTCAGTGGGTGATGAGCATCCCATTGGAGAGGTGACAGGGGCTGGTTTGTAGAAAGGGGTTGGCAGTATTGTTATTACAAATTTTGAAGTGGCCTTGTAGGCAATTGTCCCTAATTGCTACATTGGTTTTGGTGGTTTTACTTTATTTTGTTACATTTTGGACTATCATTATCCTACAATCATGCACATAGTTTAACAAATAACAATGGATGTGATACTGAACAGAACAGAATGGTGAAACAGGGTTGATGTAGCCGAACCTGTATAGATGGGTTAAGGCTTTGATGACGATGATGATTTTCCTACAATCATGCAGGGGACATTTGTATTCTGTCACTTACCTTTTGATCATAATAAAGTTTATGTTCATAATAAACAGTGTATGCATTAACTAACCATGAGCTAAAATATGTTTAACATTTTATTTTTTATCTCATAGTTGATGTATTCAAAGAATTGATTATGCCATTATGGTGGCAATTCTAGACATGATTCTGCTTGCTTTTGGATAATATTGCCAAAAGACTGTCATTTTGAAACTTTAGATTTTAAAATTAGAAATTATGGAATTGATTTTGTTCATTTTTATTTTGAGAACTAGAATTGTACCCAAATGCAGTGTAGGTCATCAATAAGTGTGGAGCTACTACTATACTCTTTTTAGAAACATGTTTTGATTTAAATGGTGATATCTTAAGTTACTGATTTCTACACGCTTGACAGGTTCTGGCATGCTAAAGTGCTGGTTCTGATTGTTGCTGAAAACCATGGAAGTAAACAATTCATCAAGCTACAATCATGTATTAAACAAGTAAGGCTTTAGCATACCCAGATTATCCCTTGCTATTATTTTCCTCCTTTTCTTTTACAGCTTGATTAATGTAGTCCATTGAAGTTTCTATAATTCAGTGTATCACACATAATCTCTGCAATATGTAGTGTAGGGCTGTCAATGGTCTGGGTCTGGTCCGGGACAAGGTAGAACCATCCCAAACTGATTGCTAAAACTGGCAGAACCAGAACTGAACCAGATCCTAACGGTTCTACAAAATCAGAACCAGTACCGAACCGATGGGAATCGGGACAATCGGGTATGTTCCAATAAGGCCCGATTATATAAACAAAAGCTTGTTAATACCTGTAATTTTTTCGATAGAACTACTCTATAACAGGGAAAAAACTATGGAATCATCAATCATGTAATTTTTTCAATAGAATTACAAATCTATAATAGGGAAAAATATGGAATCATAAGGCGAGTTACAGAACTTTTGAGTTGAGAGACAATGGAATGTCGTCACTGCTTCCAGCTTCCACTACTGTCGTTGTTGCTTCAACATCTATCTTCTACCACTGCTACTATTGTTGCCGTCGTTTTTTCCACTACTGACACTGCCTATCTGCGTCCATGTTTGAATCTTTAAGATTGAAGATGTTTAGAGAGTGAAAGAAGTTGATAGTGATTGAGTGAAGAGAGTACAAGGGAGATGAGAGTTTGGGTTGAATGAAAGGGGGAAACGGGAGAAGAGATGAAAAAGTTTAGGTTGTCTTGGAGAGGAAGAAAGGTAGGCTAGGGAGTAGGGACCTAGGGAACTGAACAGTCCATTCCTCGAGACTTGAGGTGTCAAAATGGGAAATCGAAAATGAAATGACCCTTGACCCATCCGAATGGTAAGTTTCCTCCAACCCAACCAAAATGAACAATTTGGACATATATGGTTAGAAGTGCTGCATATAAAATATTATATATTTAATATACATTATATAATTGGTTCGGGACAGCCAAAACCAGTCCCGAACCGATAATAATCAGGACTGACCCATCGGTACAACTCATGGAACCAGAACCATTATACTTGGTTCGGATGGTTCGGGTCTGTCAGGTAGAAATGACCCATTGACAGCCCTAATTTAGTGTTTACAAACATTTAGTTTCTATAACATGTAATTAGTTAAACTGAACTGCCTTTACTTCTCTATTAACCTTTTAAAAATTTGCTCTCCAATTACATGCTGGTGGAGATTAAACTTCTCTCTCGACCAGAATTTCATTGCACATTATAATGCTTGCTTTCAGAGAATCTCCTCAGTTAGTTGCATTAATGAAAGAAATGAAGGAAGGATTGGATGCAGTGAGGAGTAAAGTGCAAGCTCTAACTGTGAAAGTAAGATGTTTGTCAAACTCTACTTCGGATTTTTATTTATCAATGATCTCTCATTATCTTCTTAGCCTTTTTTGATTACTTTTATGTTTCTTCTTTTTTCTGGCTTATATTATTGTTCTATCTCGTATATCAGGTGAAAGAGAACCATTTTCCAACAACAGATGGTATAAGCTATCTTGAAGCAAAGCATTTGCTGCTTCTAAGCTATTGCCAGTCTATTGTTTACTATTTGCTCCGGAAGGCAAAAGGACTCTCAATTGAGGGACACCCTGTTGTTCGGAGCCTTGTAGAGATGAGATTGTTTCTGGAAAAGGTCTCTCTCTCTCTCTCTCTATCCATCTCTATCTCTATCTCTATCGATCCATCTATCAATTGATAAGTTGATTTTCTCCATATGATGTCGATCAGATTCGTCCAATTGATAAGAAACTCCAGTACCAAATTCAGAAGCTCTTGAAGGATGTTGGAAGTACAGTTCAGAAAGCAGGTTTCAAAGAAAAGGAAACAGATGATGCCAAGAATACAGAAGATCTATTGAAGTACCGGCCGAACCCAGACATGCTTGTTAGCAAATCAAGTCAGAATTCTGAGGTGGGTTGATGTTAAATAAATAAAAGAAGAAGAAAGAAAAGAGAAAAAAAAAACTGAATACGTTTACAACTTAAAATTTTGGTTTCTAAGTCCTAAATATGAACTATAGGATAAGAGTGGTGTATATCGACCACCCAAGTTTGCCCCTACCACTATGGAGGAGGAGGATAGGATTGCAAAACAGGAAAGATTAGCACTGAGAAAGGAGAAGGAGACTCTGCGGAAAGCTAAGCAGAGTGCTTACGTCAGAGAATTGATGGATGACTTTGAAGGGAGACCCGAAGAGGTTGGTTTGACTACATTTGTTATGCAACTAAGTTGTATTCTGCTAACTTGTTCATCTCTTACAAGCTATCGTAATACAGGTTAGAGAAATTATTGGAGTTGAAAGTAGAGAGCTTATTAGATTTAAGGCAAAGATGGAGGATCGTGCACGGCAAGAGGAGGAACTTTTCACCCGGGTTCCACTTACAAAGATGGAAAGGAAGAAAGAGAAGCATTTGAAGAAGTCAAGAAATGGGTATAAGATTTAAATCAATCTTAGTAACTGTTCCTCTTCTATCATGCATCACATGTTGTAAAATGAGAGTTGTGCATGGATTTTTAATGCCAGATATCTTTTTGGTTGGTCTGACATGTTTTTTTCATTTGTTTATGCCAGGTTACTTGGTTTGACTAATGGATTTATTGATGAGATTGGAACATTACCTTTGGAGGATGATGGTGATAAGCACACTATAGGATCCGGTAATTTTAACAGTGGAAGGAAAAAGCTTAAGCGCAAGGTATGCTGAATTTACAGGAATAATTTTAAAGCATCATTTTCCCTCTCCCATCTAAAATCGCCTTTTGTTGAATAGTTTCAATTCTTAAGGAGTGCCTATATGATTTGTTCCTCATGCATTTGCTATTCTGTTTTTGCGTTTGGTACATAGTTCTTTAGTGGCTTTGTTTTTTTTTTCTTATTTTTTTTTCTTATTTTTCTGTAGTGGGCTGATGAATGTTGTTTTTCTGGTCAATATTATTTGAATGTTGTTTTTGTTTACATGGTTCTCTATGGTTCTTTAATGGCTTTGTTTTTGTTGTATTATTTTGCTTTAGTTGGGTGATGAATATTGATTTTGTGGTCAATATTATTTGAATATTGTTTTGTCTATAATCACTTAATAGCTGTATTAAGTGATTTTGTGGTCAACTGGTCTGTTTTCCTGAAGGAAAGAGGGGGGAGGGCTGGAAGGAGGTATTGAAGATTGTAAAAGAATTTCTCAATGTGGCAACTGAAGGCCTAAGAACACTGATATCAGAGGAGTTGAAGCCTTCAAAGGAGAGAGGTGGCCATAGGTGGAGCTACCTGTGAAGGTAGGTTGGTCTTCACTGCATCGAAGGAGGATTAGAAGAAGAGATTTGTAGTGGAAGTAAATATATCACCAAAAAATTGGAGGAAAGTAGCGGAGAGGAATCTGAATCTGAACTGCACAATTATTTTGACACCTTATGAAAAGTGTAAAGCTCTATTAGAGATGCTAGGTGTTGAGTTGCATTTAGATTCAACTTGCTTTCATTTGGAGTCTGGTGCAGTGACTGCAGTCACTATCTCGAGTAGTGATTTAAAAGGCACACCTAGACACTTAGGTGAGGTGCATTTAAGGTATGCACCTCGCCTAGGCCCCAGGCACATCACTTTCAAAAGGGATGTGCCTTATGCATCAGCCCTGGTGTGTTCCCTTTTAAATTTTTTCGCTTTTTGTTTTTTTTTTCTTGAACCTAGCAGCTGGATCCCCGACCACGCCCCTTAAGGCAAGCCCAAACAAGTTCATGTTAACCCCCTATTTGCTAATGTTGTTCAATTATTCATCGTAATAAAAAATCTTCTTAAAAGGCAATTAAAATTATAAAATCATTATTTTTTATTTGAGGATTAAGAATTTAAGACCCTAACATGGATTTGTTTGGTCTTGCCTTGAGGGGGCTTGGTACAAAGGCGGCTTGTAGAATCATCAGGAATGCATGATGTTTTACATCACATTAGGTATCTGAAATAATGCAATTGAGGGAAAGAAGAGATTGTGGGTTTTACATGCTAAAATATTTTATATATTTGATTTTATTTTTAAATTTTCATTTGAATATGCTTTACATGTTATGTTTATGTATTTTAATTTTAAATAATAGGATTTTTAAAACTTTTAAAATTTATGTTTATATTTTTTTATTGGTATTATGTTTAATATTTTTAATATTTTTTGCATTTTTTGAATTTTCTGACATCTTTCTGATTTTTTGACGAGTTTTGTATCTTTGTGCCTTGCTTCAAAGAGGTGTTTGCCTCGCCTTGCGCCTTGGGCGTAAATTTCCCCTTGTGTTTCTTTTGCACCTTGCACTTTTAAAACACTAGTCTCGAGGTGGTCTCCATTGGCTAATGCCAAGAATTTGGAGGTTGAAGTTTAAGTAGCAGTTTGAGTCTTGGGTCTACTACAATTGCCCTTACCACAATAGACTGCAAATTGAAGGTGATTCTAAATTGATAACAGTGACTTGGAAATACAGGGAATCAATGAAAAGATTTAGGTGGTTAAGTAGAGATACGACGATTATCATCCAAGGAAAGGAGGTCTGCAAATGGGTAGGTTGATTATTTTGTAAAACAAGGGGTGCATAAGTCTGAGCTATTATTTGTGGCTCAATTGTAATTTCGATTCTATAATGGGGGTTGCACTACATGCCTCTGAGTGCTTTTATTGTAACACTGCTTTTTAATTTTTTATAAAATTTTCATTACTTATAAAAAACATGTTTGGCTTTTTTTGCACTTCCAAGGTTATGGTTTTTGATTGTTGGCAGACTCTGAAGCTCCATTGGTGAAGATCACAGATCAAATGAAAAAGGGAAAGAGAAGATTCAAGAAGCCTGTAATGATCAACATAAAGACAAATGAGCCAACTTGATAACTTGGCATTATCATCAAAAAAGAGGAGCTTCCTTTGTATCTTTGGGGAAAATTGAATCAAATCATGGAACTAAGAAGTTAAAAACTAAGGTTCTCCATGGATGCATAATCCCCATTCCATGGGGCATCATGGCAAAACAAACAAGTGAATCGTTTGCCAAATTCTAACAAAGAAAAAGAAATGGATCAGATGATAACTTGTATATACAGCGACATAAGGAGAGCTAGGATGTGGCTATCATGCATGACATAATGCTTGATTTGCCTGATCCGATTGGAGTTAACTTTAGCATAATGCTTATTGTATGAAGCCAGAATGTGAAGCAGTAGGTATTTTTTAGATGACAAGGATTCATCATAAAGGGGGTAAAACTCAATAGAGGTGGAAAATAGGAGGAATTCATCCAAAAAATAAGTATTTTTGGGGCATCATGGCCAAAGTGTTTTTGGAGGCATTTGTTTTTTTAAATTAAATAATCAAGCTTTATACTACTTACATAACTTGGGGGAAATTCGAATGCAAATTGGTATGCAGTCGATGTGGACTAGGCATTGAACAAATCCAGAGGTTCACCACCCCAGTGGAAGCTGAGGATTGGCTAAGGATACCTCGACATGCCAGAAATAAATGCTTGCAAATCTCTGACCCAACTAAGAAACCATTACCATGGCAAGTAAACCATTATCATCTTTGGATTTGGTGATCGTATCTCTCTTCTTTTTTGTTACTACTGCCTACAATGTAATTTTCATTGTTATTCTATTTCTTGTTCATCTCATCTCGTTTTTCCATTTCGTTCCTCATTTTCTTTAGCCGTCTATAAATTGGGAGACTAACATTCACTATCCATTTGCAGAGGAAGCATTGAGGAATCTGGATCTTGGATCTGCGTTAATATGTTAGAAATAGTATAATGGTTGTATCCTCAAAGTACTTGAATGCGGGGGTTTTGTTACTACCAAAACAACTGACGGAGTTTGTTCTGTTTATTAGAGGTGACGGACATTGCTAGTCTTGGTGATGATTATTGGTTTATTAGTCATTTCACTTGCTTCATTGGATGAACATATTTGTTCCTTTACGCAGTGCACAACCAACTCTTGGTAAAAAGAGAATTATAGTAAGTACAGTACTATTGATGTTTATGGGTCCGACTGTGATACCGGAAAGGCATTACATCTGAAAAAAAACTTGTATAGCCAATCAATTGATGTTCATCAAAATTAATGGGAGAGCGGGGGGATTGGTGTCGGCTCTTCTGGTATCATATCTTGCCGGCATCACAGATTTACCCCTTTAATTATTGGAGTTTGGACACGAGGGGTGTTGGCCATTTTGGCCACTATGTATGATTTTGTTTTGAGAAGCAAAACCAACTCCCATATCGGCAAAAATCGTAGGTGGAGCCGTGGAGGTCATTTTCTATCCCTGGTAATTAATTTGTCTGGTTGCACACTTCGCCAGGAATCTTCTGAGTTTAGGGTAGCCCAATGATAAGACAATGCGTTTTTTTTTCCCTCACTGCAGATGGTTCGTATCCTAGTTTTTAACTTATTACTTCATTTAAATGAAACCGTCGTACCTTGCTCCATGGCTGATTTAATGGGCTTGGGTGCTCATAACGATATATTTGAATAGGGTCATTTATTAAAACACTCCTTATAGTTTTATGGGCATAATAAAACACTCATTTGTCTAGCAACCTGTTGCAAGGTTCAAGGTATTAGAAATGTTATGCATATCGGAAAGGCAAATTTAAGAGACGTATCAGGATACGCATGGATATGGATGAAAAATTAAGATACGTATGATAACACATAGAAATGCTATAAATACTCTAATAAATCATAAATAAACATCAGTATCATTAAATATAAGACATAAATGGGCTATTTATGCATGAAAATAACATGTTTTAGTGGGTTTTATGATAAAAACATATTATAATCAATATACAGGAATAAAATTATACTATTTAATAAAGTACTCAATTCAGTTCCAATGCATTTGCTTGTTTTATTCTAAATATTAAATTAAAATTAAGAAAAGTAAATATGTAATAGCAAAATTGAATGGATTTATTGACATAATAGATCAAGTAATTATTTTGCATGTTTCATTCTAATTTTCTAAAAACTAAATAATTATTTATTTTTATTCAAATAATTATTTTAGTTGTTTTATTCTAAATATTAAATTAAAATTAAGAAAAATAAATATGTAACAGAAAAATTGAACGGATTTATGGACATAATAGATCAAGTAGTTATTTTGCATGTTTCATTCTAATTTTCTAAAAACTGAATAATTATTTATTTTTATTTAAATAATTATTTTGGATGTTTTATTCTAAATATTAAATTAAAATTAAGAAAAGTAAATATGTAACAGAAAAATTGAATGGATTTATGGACATAATAGATCAAGTAATTATTTTGGATGTTTTATTTTAAATATTAAATTAAAATTAAGAAAAGTAAATATGTAACAGAAAAATTGAATGGATTTATAAACATAATAGATTAAATAATTATTTTGCATGTTTCATTCTAATTTTCTAAGAACTGAATAATTATTTACTTTTATTCAAATAATTATTTTGGATGTTTTATTTTAAATATTAAATTAAAATTAAGAAAGGTTAATATGTAACAGAAAAATTGAATGGATTTTTGGGCATAATATATCAAGTAATTATTTTGTATGTTTCATTCTAATTTTCTAAAAATTGAATAGTTATTTATTTTTATTCAAATAATTATTTTGCTTGTTTTATTCTAAAAATTAAATTAAAACTAGGAAAAGTAAATATGTAACAGAAAAATTGAATGGATTTATGGAAATAGTAGATCAAATAATTATTTTGCATGTTTCATTCTAATTTTCTAAAAACTAAATAATTATTTATTTTTATTCAAATATTTATTTTTTATGTTTTATTCTAAAATTAAAATTAAAATTAAGAAAAGAAAATATGTAACAGAAAAATTGAATGAATTTGATCTATGGACATGGTAGATCATCCATAGATCTACAACATATTCAGCCTACAGGGTTAAATTACATAAAATTAAAGGTATTATAAATATTTTTTTATTCCAAAAATAAAAACAAATATATATAAAAAATCAATTATTTATAAAAAAATTCAATTGATCTATGGAAATGGTAGATCATCCATAGATCTACAAGATACTCAACCTATAGGGTTAGATCATATAAAATTAAAGAAATTATAAATTACATAAAATTACAGAAATTATAAATTACATAAAATTAAAGATATTATAAATATTTTTATTCTAAAAATTAAAAAATATATAAAAAATCTATTATTTATAAAAAAATATAGGTCTATGGACATGGTAGATCATCCATAGATCTATAACATACTCATCCTATAGGGTCAGATCACATTAAATTAAAGAAATTAAAATTATATATATTTTATTTATTCTGAAAATAAAAAAATAAAAAAAAACATCAATTATTTAGAAAAAATTCAATTGACCTATGGACATGGTAGATCATTCATAGATCTACAACATAATCAATTTCTATAGGTACATCAAAAGAAAAACCTAAAAATTTCATTTTTTTCAGATTTTTTATTATTCTGAAATTTCTTCAAATATTCACAAAGATTTACATATAGCAGCAAAATAAGTGGGATTGTTTGCACAAGAATAGTAGATCAATATACATAAAGATGTTTTCAAGCATCCAAACTAAAAAGAACCCAAAAATATTGGCTGAAAATGTAAAAAATTTTGAAAAAACATCATGTTTTCACTACTTTTTAAACAACCTTGAAAAACTTGTTGAATATTTCAATTTTGTAGGTGTATTGATGGGTTTTTTCTAGATTTGAGTCTCTAGGAATGTAAGGAAAGTTTCTGGAGGGTTTGGGGAAGAAAGAGGGCTTCTGAAATGGGTTTAGAAGCCCTCTTTCGAAGGCTATTCTATTTGTAATAATGAATTCGTCGCGTATCGGCCGATACACTACCGATACGGTAGCGTATCGGCCGATACTCGACCGAAACATACAGAAATGGGCAGATACCAGCCCAATACGAGGTTGATACTGTTTTGGCACGGCGAAAAGAGATGGTACCTTCAATTTAGGACCACCTCTTGTGCTGGTAAGTCGAAAAACCGATGCGGGTCGATATGTGACGAAATTTTAAACCTTGACCTGTTGACCTGGACAATGGTCTTGGTCGCTTTTTATTTTAATTATTTTTTTATTTTTTTAAATCAGAATGGGCCATCTGTTTGAATTGGATGATTGAACCACTCACCTAGAAACCGATGGCTAAAGCAGTTCCGATTTCGGGTGAGTTTTTAAAACATTGGCTCAAAGGTTCAATTGTGATATTGTTGATCACATAAATACTATTTTGCAAAGAGCAAATCTCTTAAAGTATCCCCAAGTGTTAGTAGGAAATTGATTCTCTTCCCCTGCTGTTTAGAAATTGCTTTAAAGTACCTCCAGTTTTTTGATAATTGACTAAATCCTCTCTTGCCATTAGCATCCGTTAGCATTATTCCTCTTAACTCCATCAACCTCTCATGCAATTAACTCATTGGAGCAAGAATATAAGATTGGGCTTCGGAAGATTTGATCATTTGCACCCCTTTCTTCATGTTCCTTGGTGTCTGTGTTTGAGGAGTTACTAGAAGTTATGATCTCAATCAGTGTATAAAGGAGAACTAGCTGAACTGAAAG